ATGAAGAGGAAGAAGATGAGTAGACCTAACTCTCTCATGCTGGCTTTGAGGGTCTGGCCAAGAATCTGAAGTCCCTTCGAGTGACGGGAGAGTTTGAAGATTCTGAAGACTCGTACAAGTCTGATGACCCTCAGAATTGCGAGAGACATGGCTTGTTGCCCTTGCTGCCCATCCTCTGCTGTCTCGGCCAACTCCGTTCCCAGCGTGATGAAGTACGGAATGATGGCCACCACATCAATCATGTTCATTATGTTCACAAAGAAGCTGGCTTTACTAGGGCAGGCAAAGAAACGCACCAAGAACTCGAAGGAGAACCAGATGATGCATAGCGTCTCTAGAATGAAGAAAGGGTCTGTGAAGTAGGTGGATGTGTAAGTGGTTGTGGAGTTAGTGACGGCAACTGGGACTTTGCGCATCTCCTCCTCATCGCTGCGGAAGATGGGCAAGGTTTCCAGGCAGAAGCTGACGATGGAGATGAGGATGACCATGACGGATATGATTGCTATAATCCTGGCTGGCCCAGAACTTTCTGGATACTCGAACAGCAACCAGACCTGCTTCTGAAACTCATTGTCAGGCAACGGCCTCTCCTCCTCCTTGATAAAACCCTCGTCCTCCCGAAACATCTCAATTGCTTCCTCTCCGAGCTCGTAAAAGCGGATCTCCTCTGAGAAAACGTCCAAAGTGACATTGACGGGGCGCCGCAACCTTCCACCCGATTGATAGTAATAGAGGATGGCGTCAAAGCTGGGACGGCTTCTGTCAAAAAAATACTCATTCCTTAGCGGGTCAAAGTACCTCATGCGTTTCTTAGGGTCCCCGAGCAATGTTTCAGGGAACTGTGAGAGGGTCTTGAGCTGCGTCTCGAAACGCAGACCCGAGATGTTGATGACCACTCGCTCACAGCACTCCTGCTCCGTTCCGGGGTCATATTCCTGAGGAAGACCAGGGTGTGCTGCCGCCTCATCTGAGGGGTCGCCCGTGGCCACAGTCATTATACAGGAGGGTGAGGCCTGCACTTTTCACGGAGGCAGGGCCCCACAGGGTGGGAAAATGCAAGGAATCCTCACAGAAGGGAGCTTGACACCGTAGAGCACTAAGGGCCACAGCGTGCTACCGGGTGGGTTGACTGAAAGACAACAAAAGATCTATGAAGACAGCATTCAGAGATCTTAAATATTGTGTCTACAGAGGGTCTAAAGCACATGTGTCAAACTCTGGTCCTGAAGAGCCACTGTCCATCAGAGTGTAACTCCAACCAGCAACAAAACACCTGCCTGGAAGTTTCTAGGGGTTCTGAAGACCTTAATTAGCTGTTTCCAGTTGGATTTGGCTCTCCAGGAACTGCATTTGACAACCCTTGTCTAAAGGCTTTCTGCAACAATAGTAGGGTGAACGCAGGTAAAGTGGGACACTTTCTGATAATGTGTCATTGGCGTTGTTTAAAAATATGATGCTAATGACTTACCCTTTCAATAAATACATTTTAATGTAGAAAAAATTTAAATTATTAAAAAATCTTCAATATACCATATGGAGGAAAAAAAGAACTATTAAGTATATAAATAAAACACTTCAGTGTCCTACTTTGCTTGTCACTCTAAGGAAAAAATAACTAAGAAACCAGGTAAACCTTCTGCATTATGCATGAATAATGTTTATCATAATGCAAGTATGTCCCTAGTATAATATTCAGGAGAGAGACCACACATGCAGTACACAACAGCAAAGCTTAGGCAGAAAGTAGATTTTAAAATATAGCACAATTCATATAAAACAGCATATTTAGTTATGCATTCACATGCAAAGCAGTTCCTTGGTCTTCTTATAGAAATCACCACAAAATGAAGCTCTTCGTCAAGCCCTGTCAGTTCTTTCTGTTGTGCTGCAATGGACAAATATCCATTCACATAAAACTGCATCTCTCACAGTGCAGTCAAGTGAAAGAGGCCCTTCTCTATGAGACATGCACATGCTACATAACCATGCTGTATCCATTCAGTGCGTATCCTTTTCCATGAAATACCCGAACATTTAAAGAACCGCATATGGAATGTTGTTCATACATATTTGTTGGACGCATTTCAATGGAATGTTTCTTGTCCCAAACGATGCCAGCATGCTCTAAAATATTCAGCAGAAGCAGCCTATGAAATATTCAACTGCAGGAAAATACATTTTAGGCTTAACAAGACTTGGTGGTCTCTCTCTTTTTACTCTTTAGATCCCTCCACATTATATTATACAAGATGCATAACTGCATATAATAGAATACACACACAAATACCAAATAAATAAATAAAGCATCCATGCATAATCAGAATTGAGACATTATACCTGCTAGGTAAACTTCTAAATCACCCCTGTGGTTCCTCAGGTTCCCAGAAGTCACGACAGCCTTCTCGAAGTGTGGATAGCACTCCGGCGTCTGTGTGGCTGCGATGAAAAGGACAAACACACATCTGATTCCTTAAATCCTGGCTGCCACTGTCTGCAGTAGCTCTCGGCGCACCGGCGTATTGTGCATAACGGGGCAGGCAGGGAGGAGGGGCAGAGAGCTACAGTATGCGGGTGTGTCCTCGTCTACCCCAAAGCTTCCTTACAGCAGGTTGTTTGAGAAGGACAAGGAGGAAAGAACAGGGGAAAAAAGCATATGATGCAATGGAAGGAGTGTCTCTTTATTCTACATTTAAGGAGGCATTAAGCAATCCATACAGGTCGCCACAGCCTTTGCTAGAAAGGTTGCAACAAATGACAGTAGAGATGAATGTGAAACATCTGCAGTAGGCACAGCATCAGGCTTGCCCATTAAGTAAGTATTAGCCTTTCAGGGATCACATCAATTAACTGGACAGTCAATTTGTAACATTAATGGAAACAGTCTTTTAAGTGAATGATAAGCTACTGATAATTGTGCAATATGTGAGGGTCAATGGCAAAGCATGTCAGAGATAATAAAATTATTTTCTATGCATGTTGAACACATCAGAATTTTTTTAAAGTTTCAAACATTTTTCAAGTCAAAACTACATATTTTTATAAATATGATTTTTTTTTTAAAATTAATGAATAGTCAATACGTTTTCCATTTGATGTGTTCAATATGTTATTTATATATTTTGGTCACATGACGACAAAATTGCTGACAATTAAAAAAAAAAAAGTATCATAAAACGAAGCCATTTTTAAAAATACATAATAATAAAAGAATATACCAATATTGTAAGAATTTCAGCCTTTTAATTAGACTTTTTGTCGCTTTTTTCTCTGGACAGTTACGCCACCAAGACATTTATTCTTTAAGCCCAACAAAAAAATATCAAAATGACATTTAATTAGTTGTATTGATTTAATTGTCTGTATGAACTACATTTTAACATTTTTTACTATATATATATATATCCAGACTAAAAATGAATGGTACATCAATGACCCATGAGCCAATCTAATTTAAAATATATATACTGTATATTGCAAAGACATGTCCCCTTAGTGATAAGTGATAACATCACTTTTAAATACAGTATTAAATGCATCACTGAAGAAGCTAAAGTTGTATATTAATGTTTTATTCGCCAAAATTTTTATTTTATTTGACTGAATCAGTCAGTTGAATCAAGAAAATGATCCTTTATGTGACAGCTGCACCTTACCACTTTCTACAGTGATACAGTATAAACGCAAATTCTATGAAGATGTCATGTTGACATGGGAACAGATGCAGAACATCATACATGAGAAGTCTGCAGCGACAGACGTCTCGAATCTCTTCCTACCTGTCTGTCTACCTCGCTTGCCGACGTCTCAGCAGTTGTTGCATTATGTTCACGCAACAAGCCATTAGTCAGTTAGTTAAAGCGTTAAATGGAATCTGCAGTCAGTCGTTGCTGTGCATACCGAAAGACTTCTGGATTACAGACACGCGCTCCGTCCGCGCTACCACTCCTCACTTTATCCGCAGAGTGGCCAGTTTAAAGGGGACGCGTCACGAGTGATGTTTGCAGAATTAAATCTCTGAGGGTGCTTCTGAAATGAGTGGTGGGTTCTCCAGCCTTAATGCACATCTATTATCACATTTATTTTTATCCTGTCCATTGCTATGTTTAGAACTATGTCAATCATTGCTATTTTGAGAGTGAATCCCGCATAAATATGTGGATGTCATTCCCGAAACTTTACAGCTTGTATGTGCCAGAAAAACAAGTTTTATCTACCTTATTTTTCAATGCGGAAGTAAGGTGGAAGTAAGCTGTTTTCTGTGAATGTGCGAGACTTCCGCTTCATTAGCCGCTATAGGTAAATCAGGAGAAGGATAACAAAGCGCAGTAAACTGTAAAATTGTTTATGCTACAAACCAGAGTGTTTATAATTAAGACACATTAAAATAATATGACAAGAAACACCAGTTTGCAATATCAAGCAGCAAAACAAGCTGTTTTGTACAGCTAAAATAGCTGGAAGCGAATGACTGAAGTCAGACACATTAAATTAATGCACACACTATTACAGGAAAAATAAGATGGATACAAATTCTGAATGGACAATAACATAGAAAGCACGCAATGAGCGCTCCCTTTATAATCACTAAAAAGCTGTCACTTGTCTTTGCTCATCGTGATCTCACAAAGATTCGTAATTTCAATGAAGCTCTACACTGGAATCTCTTATTTACATTGGGTTTACGCTTAGTTATAATGAGAGGATTCGCGAGCTTGTAGCACTGAACAAAACCTCTGGCGTTTTGAGCGAGTGGATTGTAACTTAAATGTCTCAGATTGGCCATTGCTTTCAAGAAATCAACAAATATGTCTGTTTTTTAAAGCATTTCATTTTTTTTTTAAAGAAAGGAAAACTTGAAATCGCATCATATGACCCCTTTAAAAGCATTCCCATTCCGTGTGAATCATTACACTTCCGAAGATTGTAGTTCAGAGTCTTTTTTTATTACGTTTGAGTGTATTTTGCATTTAAGGTTATTATAGCATTATTTTACTGTTTTGTGTGTCACTGCTATGTCTTCATGTTATTGTCTTTCACAGTTGCTGTAGTGGCCAAATTTGATGTTTTAAAAACTTCAAATCTATGTCTCCATGTGTGTATTTATTTCCCTAGACAGCATGCAGTGCATCTAATGGGCAGGACCTCTAAACTGATAATAATCAAACTCAAAGAACCCTAACCTTAAATTCATCAAGAAGTCAAGAAGTTCTTCATTAATTCAGTGCATACTCTGTAAGTACTTACAAAACAGTAGGCTAATCCTGTTATTTTTCCTTAAAATGTGATCTGTTTTTATTTTATGGATAAGTTTTTATTGCAAATAAATATTTATCAGCATTGTATGTACTATATTTTGATTCCAACGAAACACTGCTAGTGTACTGTTTACTGCATAATGCACACTATACTGGTCCAATCGTGGAATTATTATGCAATGATGCACCAGTGTATTATAGCCTATTGTTGGTTATGTGTGTATTCCATGCATGCTGCAAATCTAAAACTATGCACAATATTCATACTGTATACTGCACAAACTGTAGTATGGTAGTATTCCCAACAGCTGTAGAGTAAATTTTTGACCTTTCTTTCTGTCCATGAAGCTGTGGCATTTTTACAGTGATTGGATCTGAAGGTTGAGGCATGAAAATCATAGACAGAAAACAATACAGATAAATTGTATTCCATCTAATAAAAGCAACAGATTTGGCCATTTGCTGCACCTTTTCCTTTGGCACCTTTACTACCCCATAGTGTCAGCTTTCAGCTCATGCATTTCACTAGGAAATTTGATTAATTAATATAAATTTGTTGCATTTAACATTTGGTGTACAAATGATTAAGCTAGATGTCATGGCAAATTAATTATTTGTTTAATTTCATTGGTGGAATTCTGTGTGCTTTCAAGGGATGATTTTGAATACAAATTGTGCTGAGGGCTTTGTGACAGGCTGTTTGTTTTATAGCCAGAGCTTGGATGTCAATCATGCACACATGTACAGGAAATCTCTCTGACAGCTCAGCTGTTATTCATGAGAGAAGCCAATACAAAGGAGTGTTCATGCACTACGCCTTGCATTAGCTCACACTCTTTAATTAAATCTGAGAGGTCAGTGTAATTCTGTGCTTGGGTGAGATGTGTGTTTAAGACTTGCCAAAGAAAGGAAATGCAAGTGTGAGCCAAACCCTATTGATCTTGGGTCAATCTGGAGGTACACTCACGGTCACACAAATATACAAGTTCAGTCACCAGGGACAATCTGGTCAATGTATAGTAGTTAAGAAGAGTGGTAAGGAAAAGCTTTTAAGGCCATTAAAAAAATTGTCTTGTCTTGTCCTGTTCTGTGCTGTCTGTGTGGTGTTGAAAAGCAGGACCAGGAGTGAAGACGGATTCACTGTCTTTATCTTTAAAGGGCACCTATTATGCCCCTTTTTACAAGAAGTAATTTGGTCTTGGGTGTCCCCAGGATGTGTCTGTGAAGTTTCAGCCCAAAATACACAACAGATCATTTATTATAACAGCTGGAAATGTCATTTTTGGGGTGTGTCTAAAAAAAGAGCTGTTTTGGAGTGTATCGCTTTAAATGCAAATGAGCTGCATATTCCCGCCCCATCTCCAGAAGAGGGCATTGCGTATACGTCTCTCTGCATTGCATATCTACAGCAATTAACAGCCAGTAGCAACATAACTGAGAGCGAGAGAACCGGTGTTTAGCCGTTCATATGGGAAGCCAAATGCACTGAAAGTGTGAGGAAATACAATGTTACAGAGCTCGCGCCGCGCTGACTTGTCGCGCGAATGCGCTACCGAACGAATCTCGCGCTACGAATGGCGCGAACTAATCTCACAAGCTGATCAGTTAAAAAATACTTAATGTACGCACACAAATACGGTTAAGACGCTAAGCACTACAACATGACATTCACAAAGGAGTCTGGAGTGATACACGTATTTAGGTAGATTTTGAGGCGCATTTCCTTGAAAAATGAAAGTAATCCACTGCGTCCTCAGCAGCTCAGATCTTGGGAGAAAATGAAGACTCTATAAGGCCTTTCCACACTGTGCGCGATGCGAAAAAGCAAGGCGAATCGCCGACGAACGGTGCTTTCACACCAAAAGCAAAATGATTGTTTGCCTTTTGCTAATTCACGCCTGCACGCTAGGTGGCGCCAACCAGCAATGCATTTTTCCTCAGATATGTATCTCGTAAATGTATTTAACATCGTCGGCTGCTCAATATACAGCATTAAATTAAGATAAACCAGGAACACAAACTACCTATAATGCTTACAAGAATAGGCTACATCCTAAAATATAATTAGAAGTACAATTAGCATCAAGCTACACTTGAAAATGTATGTAATTATTAATGTATTTGCTTACCCACTTTAAACCATCATCGAGTGCTTGTAATAACATCCGATTGTGATCTATAGTTGATTTTGATTAATAAGCAGACACATGCACTCTTTGTATGTTTAATAACGCTACACTGCTAATATTTGTCATAAACATCCTTCATTACTATAAAAATACCATGAGCTGCATACAAAGCACATACAGAATATATATCGTCATAATCATATG